CTTACTATGTGTTAGGCTGAATGCTAAGCAATGATATGTATTATCTTACTTAATCTCAACATCATAAGGTAACATTATATTTAATAGTATGTAATAACAGTATACACAATTATTATCCTCACTTTAGATGAGGAAAATAAAAGTTTAAAAGATGTTACAGAAAAAGTAACAGAAATGTACTATGTGTCAGTATAGCTCAGATTTGTGTATCGACCTATAATGGTGTGGATCTGGAACACCTTCTAAAGACTCATGTGTAGGCTTGTTCCTCAATGCAGTAGTGTTCAGAGGTAGGGTTTTGGGGAAGTGACTGGATCATGAGGGCTCTTATCTATTAATGGATTCATTAATAGATTCATCTAGTAATGGATTAGAAGGTAGGTCCTGGAAGAGTATTTCTATTTCTTATCCTTGGTACATGCACACTCCTCCCCTCCCCTGCCCAGTTTCCCAGCCACCATGAGGTGAACAGCTTTTCTCTGCCAYGCCCTCCTGCCATAATGCTTTGCCTCATCTCAGGCTCAAAGCAGTGGAGTCAGCCAACCATAAATTAAACGTTCTGAAACTATGAGTCAAAACAAGTTTTCCTTTAAGTTGTTTATGTCAGGCATTTTGGTCACAGTAACAAACAGCTGATTAGCACAGTACCTTATCTTTTTTTTTCATTTTTTTTAAATTATTTTTTAGTTTTAATTAGACCCAATACATTTATTTTAATATGGTGTTAAGGATCGAACCCAGGGCCCCACACGTGCCAGGCGAGCACTCTACCGATGAGCCACAACCCCAGCCCCTTTTTTCATTTTTTAAAAAAAATTTTGTGGGCTGGGAATGTGGCTCAGGCGGTAGCGCGCTCGCCTGGCATGCGTGCAGCCCGGGTTTGATCCTCAGCACCACATACCAACAAAGATGTTGTGTCCGCCGAGAACTAAAAAATAAATATTAAAAATTCTCTCTCTCTCTCTCTCTCTCTCTCTCTCTCTCTCTCTCCTCTCTCTCACTCTCTCTTTAAAAAAAATAAAAAATAAAAAAATAAATAAAAATAAAAAAATTTTTGTTAGCTGTATAAAACAAGTTTTTAAAAATTATGTTATTTTTTATTTTTATGTGGTGCTGAGGAYCAAACCCAGTGCCTCACACATGCTAGGCAAGCACTTTACCACTGAACTACAGCCTCAGCCCCTGATATGTATTTTTCTTAAATGTGACTTTTACAGACCGGCTCTTATAATTCTATTTAAAACACTGAAGTCATACAGAATCCCAAAATTATCATAGAACAGCTTCTGAAATATTTTTTTATGTATTTCTTTTGGAGATGTAAACTACAAGGGGTCAAGAGAATTCAATAGACAGTATTTATGCTATATTCTATATTATTTTTTCATTTTGTTTAAGTGGCTACTGGTACATGTGTGAATTAAACTACCTAACTAATGCTTGTTGTTTTTTTTTTTAAACTATTTTATCTTTTAAAAAAAATATTTTTTTAGTTGTAGATAGACACATGTGGTGCTAAGGATGGAACCCAATGCCTTACACATGCTAGGCAAGTGCTCTACCACTGAGCCAAAACCCCAGACCCTGCTTGTTGTTTTATAGACAAACACATTGTGTTACAAAGGGTTTAGGATATACATTGTTCTTTCCTAATATTTCTAATTAGGATAGATAGGCCACTTTACAGTTGTCTTTAAAGGTCTGTTACTGTGTTGGTGTTTGTCTTTATGACTTTGTACCTGCATTCTTTACAAAAGCTGTTGGAATGGAACTCTTAAARTGCTCTACAGATTCTTATTTATAGGAGCAGGGAAGGTTAGGTGGTTTACTCATGCTTGCTACCACAGGAAACAAAGAAGACAGGAACCCCAACTTCCTAACACCCAGCTCTATGTTCCTCCCATAAAACCATACTGTCTCTACACAGGTGTATCATAGGTACGAAATCAACTGAAAGTTGCCTATTTTTTTCTTTCAACTTGTATTTTTAAAAAAGAACTCAGGAAATCTTTTCATTCTGTTCAAAATTCTAGGAAACATCAAAGACTCATTCTCTAAAGTATTTTACTGAGAAAATCTGGACAGAGATGGTGGCAGCATAAATTCTCAGCAATTCTTAACTCTACTTGCCAAGACAACTGCTGAGAGATGACCTGTTATCTTAAATCTTCAATTTCCTCAAGACAGAAATTTTAAAGGTAGAGTAATCATTTGGGGGACAGTAAGAACAAGGAGATCTAATGAGGCTGGTCACTCTGAGATTATCCAAATTAAATAATGATGCCATAGCCATTCTGGTAGCACAGAAGGGTTCACTTCTCTAAATCATCAAAAGAAAAGAAAAAAAAAAAACCTAAAAAATAACTGTCATAATTATCTGCTATGTCAGAGAAAGACCATTTTTTATTTTGATTGCTATCTTATTCAAACACAAATTATTATCACAGCCATTAACTCACTAAAGACCTAAAGGAGAAGGGGGATAGTGGCACAGCTAGCACAAAAGCCTGGAAAGAGCACAGGTGGGCAGGAAACACATGTCACCATGACACACGAACACATGTCACCAGGGAAGGCGGAATGATAGTGATGTACAAAGACTTTATTGCTTACTGGTTCCTTTTCCAGATCTATGTTTGGTTAGCAATTCAACTATCAACAGAATCAGAAAGAGAAAGGAATTATAGTCAACCCTGAACCATGGATGGTAGATAGGGGGAATTAATAGTTTTAACATCTCACACTTAATCTAGAAATGAATTAGACCTGCCTATAGCAAACAAAAAGACAAGACATTATAATTCAGCCACTAGCATCCAACAAGTCAAATGGTCCACAAAATTAAATTTTATGTATAAACTCTTATTCTTACAAGATTAAAGGAAATAAGAATACCAAAACAAATGACATTTTAAAATACTTGAAAAGAAATAGGTAAAAAAATCATATTTAACTCTTAAAAACAGAAGTTCTCAACCTTTTCTTCCTCATATTGAAAACTGAGAATTACTACTGGGGTGGCAGGTATAATAGCTCAGTAGTAGAAATGTAGAAGGGCCCTAGATTCTATCCCTATACTAAAATAAATAAATAGATAAGTTAAGGACTAAAAAGAGCTTTTATTTACATGGTACATCCATTGATTAATATTAAAACTAAAAGTTATTTAATAATTCATTGTAAAACAACCCCATATTAACGTAAATCACTTAATTTTATAAAAATAACTATTTTCCAAAACAAAAAAAGAAAAGAATAGCATTGTTTTCTAACTTTACAAATGTAAAATGTATCTGACTTAAGAACTGAATTCTCATATCTACTTCTGTATTCATCTGTTCTAATTTTAGTTGAAGTACATGAAAAAAAGTTCAAACCTACAAAGAGATAGTTGAAAAGGTAGAAGTACTTTAATAGCAGATAACTGTGAATATAACCATCTGACACTGTGTCAAAAGTATATTAATGGTTAGTCACATTGTGAAATCTAAAAGCATACCAGTGAACTTTTCATATTGTCTTACATCAAAATCCACTGGTTTAGCTTGTACTTTAAATCAATTATTTATCTACACATGACCTTATACATCCTGCATTGATCACTGAGAAAATTTTAATGAGTTATATATACATAATTCTTTCAAATTATAATACATTTCATTGTATAAAGTAAAAAATATCATATTCATGAACACTCACTGATCTCATCAGAACTGTCTTAAATTTTGGGAAGCTATTAAGCTCACAATAGTAAACACAAATTTTTCAAAACAATAATTCAATGGCAACAAGCATTGTCAGTTCTTTTCCTCGAAGTGACAGGCTCACTTCATTCATTTTCAGGAAAATATCTGCCAAAATACTGAATAATCAAGTTTGAATAACCACAGTATGCCCTTTCAAGTAAAAATGATATTTCATAAAAGTCAGTTAGCGGGGCTGAGGCTGTAGCTCAGTGGTGGAGTACTTATCCTAGCACGTGTGAGGCACTGGGTTGGATCCTCAGCACCACATAAAAATAAACAAATAAAATAAATGTATGCTGTCTATCTACAACTACAAAAATTAAAAAAAAAAAGTCAGCTGGGGGTGCTGCGGTTGTGGCTCAGTGATAGAGGGCTTGCCTAGCAAATGTGAGAAGCTGGGTTCAATCCTCAACATCACATAAAAAATAAACAAGGGGGCATTGGGTTATAAATGATGGTGGAATGTGATGATGATTATTATCCAAAGTACACGAATTGGTATGAATATACTTTGTATAAAAAAAAAATCAAAAAAACAACAACAAACAACAAATAAAATAAAGATATTGGGGCTGGAGTTGTGGCTTAGCAGTAGTCACCCAGCACATGCGAGGCCCGAGTTCAATTCTCAATACCACATAAAAGTAAACAAGCAAAATAAAGGTATTGTGTCCAACTACAACTAAAAACTAAATACTGAAAAAAAAATTTAAATAAAGGTATTGTGTCCATTTATAAAAAAAAAAAAAAGTTCAGAAAGCTCACAAGTGCTCTTCTTTTAGACCATGAGAGTCTTCAATGGCAGCAGTGCTCTGTGCTTCTTCCCTATCACAGAGTAGTAAACCAAGAGAAGCCCCTTGAATTTTAGAAAAATTAGTAATTCTTCCTGATTTATCAAAGACATTCCAATGTTGAAAATTAGCTTTTTTTCCACTATGTAAATGGTGAATGAGAGGTAGTAAAAATACCATAATTATTGCCAATCCCTCGATTCACATTAAGACACCAGCAATCTTTACCACTGCAGTGCATATGTCAACACATTTAAAAGGCAAATAACATTTTAGCATTGTTATGAAAATAATCATCATTATGTAATAACCCCTGAAAAGGACGTCAGAGACAATCAGAAATCCATGGGTAATATTACTATTCTAAAGTATCTTCTTTTGGCAAGGACAGGTTCCACTGCTCCTATTTAGTACAAACAGTAATAAATCTAACCAAAATACAACTTAGAAAACACCATCTTACCTTTGCCAAGACTAAAAACAAATGGTTCATTTCTATCATGACTGGAATCAAACTTCTTTCCATTGGACAATTTTCCTTTGTAGTGGACATAAACTTTGTCACCAATCATTGGTGTTTCCTCACTATTCCCCACTCTTTTGACAATCTAGGGGAAAAAAAGAAAATTGAGAAACAGAAAGATTTTACTTATAATTAGAGAATTAAAAAGGTAACAATCTACTCCAAGCCACTCAGGCATATTTRTAAATCTACTCTATCTGTTCAGCGGTTCTTTCAATAACTGTCCCTATTAGAAAACTATCTTTTGTAAGGACATGATCTTTTATGTAATATTCTATTTTATTGCTGATTACACTATTTATTTCTTCAAAAGAATTAACCAATAAATCTTGCTTAAAGCCCTATACTGTTTACCTTTAAATCTCTTAAAACATTAGATAGTCCATATACAAACTAAATTAGACCAAAATGACTCAAAAACAATCAATAAAAAGTCTAAAACAAAGATTCAAAGGTGTGATTTCATTTACTTTCCTCTTTGGCTAAAAACATTAGCTTCTTATTAGATTCTGTTAGTTTGGTTTAATTTCAGAAAGCCCAACATCCTGATGTAACAGGCTACACTTCTCATTATTTGAAAAGTATTTAGGGCTGGGGATGTGGCTCAAGCGGTAGGGCGCTCGCCTGGCATGCGTGCATCCCGGGTTCGATACTCAGCACCACATACAAACAAAGATGTTGTGTCTGCCGAAAACTAAAAAATAAATATTAAAAAAACTCTCTCTCTCTTTAAAAAAAAAAAAAGAAAAATATTTAATCTGTAAAAAACATCAGTTATCATTGCACAGTTTGACATGATACTGAATAATTTGTTTTCTAGTAAGGGAAATGCCAAAAAAAGCTCCAAGATAAAAAATATTTAGTTATCATAAAATCCAGTATATTTATTTTGTTATTGTCAGAGCAACCTCCTAATGCAGTTGGTCAGATCTTGGAAAGGGAAATCTTATTTTATTTAGGCAAGTGGTGGTGTAATTTATTCTGTCAATCATCTAGATAAATTAACCATTTTTAGGAGATAACAGAGGCTAATAGCTAACAATACATAAACATCTTTTGTAGAAGAGTTTTTGTTTACCGAACTATATTATTTGCTTTTAAATTGTTTGAGGTGTATCCTCTGAACCCTGCCCCACATAAACACTGTGAACTTCTTTTCTATAACTTTTCTTAGCTCAAATGTCCAAACAGTCTTTAAAGGAAAAAAAAAAAAAATACTGCCCTTCTAGGACTTCGAAAGAAAAAAAAAGTTTAAAAAAATTGATCTAAAAGAAACCACATGATATTCTTAAAGTACTCATGTTCATGAACTGCATATGGAATCTAGGAGCCTACAATCAGTTATCAGTTGGAATTTACATTCAAAGGACTAAAAAGAAACAACTGGGCATATGGGATGAATGCCTACCAGGGAGGCAGATGGTCATTCTTACTGACAAGTGATACTACGGTCTTACTTTAGGTTTCTGCAGCCAACTAAACTTGTGCCTAAGTCTGGAGTTAAATTCATGTAAAAAAAAAAATGTAAACCTAATTTTTATCTTCCAGACGGTTGCTGACTTTCTAAATTTGCCCTGGTACTTTATTTGAAATCATATAATAATAAGAAAGATTACTATAAAAGCTAAGTGTTTTTCCTTATCCTGATAACTCTACAAGATTGGTGGTATTATTCAGAAGTCTCATAGTGAACCTGAGGCTGTGACAAGTAACACAATTTATGGAATTCCCAATCACAAATATTTCTTACAAACTTTAAAATCCTGTTATTAGATTTATTCCCCAGAACAAAGCATGTTTGAATATGATTTGTCCTCTCTGAAATTTGTAATTGTAGTGATATTGGGGTGTGGGACCTTCAAAAGGCAATTAGGTAGTTCAGTGGAATTAATGCCTTTCTTGTGTAAATTCTAGATCTAGAGGGACTGGATTAATTATAGCAAGTCCACCCCTTGTGCTGTCTTTTTCACATGTGCCTACCTACCCTTCTGCTATCTACTGTGAAGTGAGCTTGCTAGATGCCAAGCAGATGCAGATACCATGTTCTTTGACTTCCCAGACTCTAGAACTGTGAGCCAAAATAAATCTCTACACTTTACAAATTACCCAATCTCAGGTATTGGGTTATAACAAGAAAAAACACAGTAAGACCCAGAGTCTCAGGCAAGTTGGGGACTCTGGAAATGAGGACTAAATAGATGAGGTAGAAGATTCTGCTGAGGACAGCCTAAAGAATCTCCACTAGGGGCTGGGGATGTGGCTCAAGCGGTAGCGTGCTCGCCTGGCATGCACGCGGCCCGGTTCGATCCTCAGCACCACATACAAACAAAGATGTTGTGTCCGCCGAGAACTAAAAAATAAATATTAAAAAAAATTCTCTCTCTCTCTTTAAAAAATAAAAAAAAAATTAAAAAAAATAAAGCCCTTATTCCACAGGTGCCAATTCCCCAAATTTGGCTTGGCACAAAGCAACCTAATAGGAATATGTGTATATTCTGAAGAGWCCTAGGCATAGAAGAAAGGCTTTCACATATTCAAGATTAAACAACCTCAAAAATTCTGATTTGCTACTGCAGACATGAGAGGGTTTTAAAATTTCAGTGTAGTAGTAATAATTAGAATGTGTTAAATAATCTTTTTTGGAAAAAAACGAAAACTATACAAAACCTATATGTATTACCAGTGTACAAGAAATAACTACTTGATTAAAGCCATCTGATTTCTCTCAGCTTCAGTTAATTGACTTATAAAATGAAAAAATCAAGAGGTGCTGATTTTCTCACACCATTGTAAAATATAAATGTAAAAATGATTAACTATAGAGTGATATTCACATATATTATTTTATTAAGTAGGAAAGCTAATTCAAAAGTTAAGATATATTCTCTGATAAAACTCCCCCCAAAAATCTTCATTGTACCCAGAAACATTTTCATGTTAAAAATAAATCTTGAGAATGCTAGCAACTAGGGAGGCTGAGACAGGAGGACTGCAAGTTTGAGGCCAGTCTGAGCAACTTAGAAAGACTCTGTCTCAAAAAATGGAAAGATCTGGGAATACAGTTGTGGTAGAGCATCCCTTTGTTCACACACACATTTTGAAGTACCCCCTCCTTTCTCTCTCTCTCTCTCTCTCTCTCTCTCTCACACACACACACACACACACACACACACACACACTCTGAAGTTAAGGGGACATAGCATTTTGGTATCTGATATAACTTGGAGCTGAACCCCAGGATCTCCAGGATATTGAGGCAAGTTAATTTACCTACCTGGGCCTCAGTTTCACCATATACAATCTGAGATTAAAAATAAAAATCTCAGAGTTATGAAGATGAAATAAGAATCTATTTAAGTTGTAGGTGGATACAATATCTTTATTTCATTTTTATGTGGTGCTGAGGATCGAACCCAGTGCCTCACGTGTGCGAGGCGAGCACTCTACCACTTAGTCACAACCTCAGCCCCCCCCAAAAAAGGTTTTATAAACAATCTTTCCAGAGAGCAGATTTCCCTGTGTTACTCATCTTTGTAGCCTCACCTTTAATACTCCTCTGTCTTTTTTGGAGGTAATATCTTCTCCTTGTTCTGCAACAGTGGATGCTGGGCTTTCTCCATTGTTCTTGGCACCTTCATCAGTAGTCATATTGTCTTTTGTAAGCAGGAACCCTGCCAAGAAGAAATATATTTTAGATAGGGGAAAAATTACTTCTTTATGCATCTTAAATGTCCCTGGGAACTGAGACTTAGTAGACTTAAGGTTTACTTAGGGCCAGTAAGTAAATCTTAAGTCTACTAAGATTTTCCCCGCTACTTGTGTAATTAGATTTAAAATATTCACTTTCATAGGGTGACCTGAATTAGTGATGACAAAAACAAAAACATTTGCTATCAGCATGTATTGCTGTCAAAAACATGGAAATAAAACATCATCCAATTCTTTAATTTCCCATCTAGCTCTGGTCCCAAATTAAAGAGTGGTACAAATCAGGTTTGGTGGTGATTATATATATTCTCAGAATTTTGAAAATATTCTTTTCCTACAGCTATATTATTGACAGAAAATTAAGAACTTCTCTGGTGATTTGATAAAAGAAGTGACAATGTACTACGGTGGCAAACAGAATAGGCTTTACAATCTGATAGAGTTTTAATGCAGCTCCAGCTGTTGACACTTGTAATATACTTAATCCTGCTGAGTCCCTAGTTTCCCATCTGTAAAATGGAGACAGTACACAGTTTTGGGTGTTAAAATAAATTTTAAAAAAGGTACATCTTGGTCCGGGGATGTGGCTCAAGCAGTAGCGCGCTTGCCTGGCATGCCCCGTTCGATCCTCAGCACCATATACAAAACAAAGATRTTGTGTCCGCCGAAAACTAAAAAAATAATAAATATTAAAAAATTCTCTCTCTCTTAAAAAAAAGGTACATAAATAACTAAAAAATATTTTTTTTAAAAAAGTGTAAGCATTTATCATCATTATGGGGTCTTTTATAGGGCATTTTCCCTCTCCTGCTCAAACTACCTACAGAATTAAGTTTTCCCTGTGGCACTCAAAGCACTTCACAATCCAACCCTAATGTATCTTTCAAGTCTAGCATTCACTACTTTCATACAACTCATGCTTTAGTCAAACTAGACCAATTCCTCTCCTATAATAAGTCCTGTGTGCTTCCACATCCATGTTTTTGTTACTTTCTTTTTCCCCATCAAATGCTACCTCCATCATACCAACCTTGACTAAGTGGGGGTCATTTTTTCCTTTTCTATACTTCCTTACTCTTCCCATGCCTTACTGTTTATATTTATTAGAGGATACATCTGCTGGATTTAAAAGGTTCTTGAGAGCAAAAGTCATGCTTTGTTCACATTTAGATTCCCTAGAATGCCTTACCTTTTAGAATGATAAAAGCAAGGAACTTGTTTTCTTCCTGTTTCTTACAAACAGGTATATATTGACTACTTTAACTTTTCTAAGCCTTTCCCCACTACTTGTATAATTAGATTTAAAATATTCACTTTCATAGGGTGACCTGAATTAGTGGTGTATTTACACTTTTAAAATATACCATTTGCCRGGCATGGTGGCACATGCCTGAAATCCCAGCAACTCAGGAGACTGAGATAGGAAGACTACGAGGTCAGCCTTGGCAATTTAGGGAGGACTTCAGCAACCTAGTGAGACCCTGTCTCAAAAAACATAAAAAGAGCTGGGGGTGTYGCTTAGTGATTAAGTGCCTCTGGGTTCAATCCCCAGTACCAAAGGAAAAAAAAAGAAATATACTACTCAAATATCACCTGGTGGACAATTTTTTCACGCAAGGCAAACCAATGTTACCAATCAGCTAATCAATAGGCTAAACAAAACTCACCTGGCCACTCCCATGATTAATTCCACACTGCTCCCTGGTTACCAAATCAAGAATCAAAGACTTCTGAATCTATTCCACATTATGCTAATGATAGGCTTAAGGGTCCTTTAAGTCACCTCTTAGACCCTTGTCTACACAATCAAAAAGAGCTATTTTACCTTGTGAAAAATATCTTACTGGTATAATATAACTAAAACATGTATTGTAATGTTTTAACTCATTTCCAAATGATCTAAGTTTACTTCAGTGACAACAAAGACACAAATCATATTGCTATGCCCAAAAATCTTCAAAGAGAACACCAAAATCCAGGGGCTAAGGCCCTTTGCTTTATTTTTTAGCACAGTTTATACCAAACATAAAAGATCCAAATGTTTGGCTCAGGATAAGTAAAAGGCTAGAACAAATCGTTCTCAAACAAACAACCAAAATTAAGTACCTAGCTCTATATAATGCTGGGCTGGATAATCAGAAAAATGAGATGAACAGGGTTGCTTCTCAGTTTCCAGAAATCCACTGTTTATAACACTTTTTCTAATGTCTAAACTTATAGAAGGCACCTCAACAACAGAAGGAAAAGAACTTCTAAATATTTCAAAGTTCATGCCTGTATCCCTGAGAAAATACATGCATGTAAAAAAAGTTCCTAGGGTCTTATAGATACAGTGACATCCATCAGTAGACCCCCGGGAAGCCATGGTTTAAAGTATTGAACAAATTAAAAACACCAGGTGAAAATTTATTGGAAAAAGAGCCACACAGTCTCAAAGTGTCAATCCACGGATTACTTATTTAAAAAAGGAAAAAGACCTTTCTGTAAAGTGATTTGCATCATAACCAAACTCTACAACACTAATAGTGAAATAAGCTCATATTAATGTGACTGTTGATATGATGCAGTAGGAAATATATATCACCTAGGTGGTGTTCTATCAAAATATTAAACTCAAAACTAATCAAGAAGAAAAGACAAGGGTTTGGGTTTTGGATCAGCGGTAGAATGCTTGCCTAGCATGTGGGAGGCCCTGGGTTCAATCCTTAGCACCACATAAAAATAAATTAATAAAGATATTGTATCCAACTAAAAAATAAATATTAAAAAAAGAAGAAAGGACAAAATCAGATTGTGAAGCATTCTACAAGACAAGTGGACTAGACTCCTAAAAAATGTTAATATCATAAAGGACCACCATTATCATCCCACTGCCAAAGAAAGACAGATAGAAGGCTTGTTCTAAACTAAAGGAGATGACAGAGCTATGACAGCCAAGTGTAATAGGTAATCATTAACTGGATCCTAGATTAGGGGGACAAAAGGATATTTTGGGGAGAATCTGAAAAATTTGGAAAACCACAGTGAACTTCTTAGGGGTGTAAGATGTTAATTTTCTAGGATATGCAATAGTATTGCGATTTCATTTAGAATAATATTCTTGTTCTTAGGAGACACATGCTTAAGTATTTAGGGGTGAGTTGTCATCACATCTGCCACTTTTTAAAATTCATTTTTTAACTGATACATAAAATTGTTGTTCTGAGAATCACTGAAAGAGAGAGAAAGCTCCAAAGTACAAATGTTGCCAAAAAAAAGTATAATAAAACATTAAGTAAGGATGACTACAACACATCCAAACAACGCAATGCTTTCTTCTGAATGCTCATCATTTGGAGTTCAGCAAAAACTATGAATGAAAATACTGTCAGTCAAGAAACATTTTCTTAATCTGACATGCCTGTAACCCCAGCAACTCTGGAGACTAAAGTAAGAGGACTGCAAGTTCAAGGCCAGCCTTAGCAACTTAGCAGGAACCTCAGCAATTTTTTTAAGACCCTGACTCAAAATTTAAAAAATAAAAAATAAAAAGGACTTGGGGTGTATCTCAGTGGTAAAGTGCCCCTAAATTCAATTCCGATTACCCCCCACCCCAGAGAGCAAAAAATAAGAAACAAACTAACTAACTAAACCAAATAGTTTCTTTTGGCTCTAGCCTTGCTTTCTTGGAAACAATGGTTTACTTAAATTCAAATAAAAAGTATTTCCCCTTAATTYCAGTTAGGCCATTAGTAGTATAGATTTTCATAAGCCAAAAATAAATAGATTCTTTTTTACTTTATCGAGTTATTATCTGAAAAAGGACAGACAATCCCCCCCCCCAAAAAAAAAAAACTTTAGGACAGTTTTACTGTATTTACAATACAGACTTTTCTTCCTTTCCCCCATCCTAGGTTTATTCTGGATTAAAAATCACTATGTAGCTATGGATATTAATCTATGATAAAGCCTACTGTGCTGAACTGTTCAAAGGGGGGAAATTGCTACCCAGAACACCAGAAAGGGAACACACAGTTCGTTCTGTTATGGACATGCCAGATAAGCATGCACTCTCCAAAGCGCTAGTCAGCAAACACCTGGGACATAGCAGAAAAATGAGAATACGCTTAATATTTCATCAACAGTGTACTGGAAACTTCACTTAACACAAATAATTATTAGAGGCCCCCAAATAAGATTTTTATTTTTAAAGCCTTTCCCACTAATTTCCCACGTATATTACTTACTGCTGTTGTTCTCTTTGATAAAATATAGATAGATATCTTGTATCAGACCATTGTACTGTGTAACAGGAATGTGCAGAAAGAAGACAAAAAAGAATATAGGAACTGGCTACTTTGTTAGAAGTACTCAAAATTATAGCAGCATTCTTTCTAAGCACTACAGATGTCTAGGTCATACTGGCTTTCAGCTTCCTATAGCTAAAACATTAAATAAAGAAAAGACACAGGAAGGAGGTATAGCCAGGACTTGTAACAGAATGCAACATAAGTGGATCTTAATTTTAAAAATTTCTATGAAGATGGACTAACAAGCAATCAAGCAAATTCAACCTCAGCACTTTCTCAAAACACTCTACTCCAATAAACAGGAGTTTATTATCTATTTGTAGACAAGACATACATCTAAAAAAGAAGAAACAAGATCATAAATAGACTATATATCTACATGAAACTGTATATCTATATGTACTTTCCCTCAGGAAATTTCTTTCCTCCACATTGGTGTGGGGTCAGGGAAATGAATACTAATATTCCTATGCATATTCATACACGTTTCTTTCCCTCCCTCCCCTCTTTCTCTCTCTCTCTCTCTCTCTCTCTCTCTCTCTCTCTCTCTCTCTCTCTCTCTCTCTCTCTCTCGAGCTGGAGATCGAACCCAGGCCTTCCATATGCCAGACAAGTGCTCCTCCACTGAGCTACATCCTCAGCCTACATTTTTCTTTTTTAAAAAAGTAAACTGT